AAGAATAGCCAAACCTCACAATGGCTAGTAATATTGTTTTTGTTTGAATTTGCCTTTAGTCACATGTATAAGGAAATTTAAATTTCAGTTCATTCACTAATCACCCAAGAATCATATTCATAAAGTAATTATCCAAAATTTAAAACAAAACACCAATAAATACTCCAAATACATAGGAAAAGAGTAATGCTAGGGAGGCTAAATTTGTAGACAAAATTGTCAAACCAAATGATGTGTCACCAATGAGGAATGATCACATTTATTTATGTTTAATTAATAATTCAATCAACAACTTCGATGTCATTTAATTCACAAAAATTGTCTTTAAATTTAGGCTCCCTAAGGACCCTAACATTACTCCATAGAAAATTGTTCAAAAACTTGAACCAAATATTAAGAGGGCGTTACTCGGCCACATGTTGGCCCCTGTTTAAAAGTTCTAGTCTTCCATCGGTGTAGATGACTCTTGAAAATCAAAAAACTACATAGTGGTATCTTGGGGATTATCAACTTGAACAAAGTTAGTATGTATGACGTGAATGATACTCAGCAACAACGTGAGTAAGTGCTTGGCAAATACATGACCAATAGTCCTTGGAACCACAACAGTAACACATGTCTATTTCTATGGTGGTTGTGCCTTACCTTTATTCTTGAAGTTGAAAGCCTTGAGATCTAGAGAATCGCGCTTTGGGCCTGGATTTCCTCCCTTGGGTTGGCCTCTACTTTGTCGGCTTGCTGCTTAGGATTGGAACCCTTTTCACGGTTTAGACTCTTCTTGTGTCCATTTAGCCCTCGATGTGCTGGCATGTGCTTCAAGCACAACGCTCAAGCAAGTAGGTCTACCTTGATGATTTTTCATCAAAAGTTGGCATTGCATTCTCATATGCATGCTGTAAAGGGTAGTAACTATGTAGTGAATGATTCATCAACCCAATTACAGTGGTTCCTCATATATCAGACTCAAACCCTAAGCTAGCTAATGGTCTCAACTTTAGATTATAATTCTATTTCAAAAATCCACTCAAGACCATTCTAGCTAAACATGGTTCCTGATCGAATAAATACAAAAAATTTGGACATTTTTTGTGTATCTTATCTTGTAAACACGTATACCTTACACTACACTTTTTTAACACAAGTTTCAACCACAGCCTTCTAGCAGTAGTAATTCTTATCTTTGAATTTTTGGAGCTCTCCTCTTCATGGTTTCTATTCAACTTATTATCCTGCTTGCGGACAATTAACTTGTGGATTAAGTAAATAGCTATTTCAAATTGCTGCTGCTAACCCCTGGAGCTAGCCTTCTGACCGGGGAACTCATATGGTCCTATTAACACCCGCTTCTTCGTTGCAAGGCGACACCGCGGGGTGGATATCTGCGGGTACTCATCATTTCATGTCATGGTTGTATTGCTTCATATTTGCAGATTCAAACCACCACCAGAATCATCATCCATTAGCCACATTTCAAAGGGTAGTGTATCACCATCTTCAAACGAGTGAGATTGGTTTTTGGAGCAATTTCGGAAACTGAAATCATAACTAATTGTGTATTGTTGTTGAGTTATTGCAAATTGGTTCAACTGATGAACCAAAAATTTCACCTCCCCTATTGTGAAGCCGAGAAATTGTTGGAAGTGACTGTTATACTGTCACCTTGTGCTACTATAAATGAGAAATTTATGTGACAAATCAAATGTCTACAAAATAATGTTTGTATTAATGTAAATGTTTAGGGTTGAAATCTTTGTTACAAAGTTTTGAACCTCTGATTCAATCCAGGGGTGGTAGAGTGTATATGTAGGATTGTTGATCCAAGGGTCACGATAACTTGATCTCAGATGAACAAACGCCACAAGGGTTTGGCTTGTGCGATGGAAAAACCGGTATGCGTAGTGGTGCTTGATAATTCTTCATGGGTTTGACGAAGAACGCAAAGAGCGTGTTTAAGGAGAGTTTGAGTGTCTGGGTATGAGGATGGATTTCTAACCCCTTTCTTTGTCTTGGAGCCTCATATTATAGGCTTTCCAATTCTTGCCTACGACTGGATTTGGCCATGATTGTGGAGTTGGTTCATTGACGAAAGAACCAAGACTTGGTTTGTGATTTCACTCTATCAATTAATTTGTTTGATTTAAATTAAAATTAATTAAAGAAGTAATTAAAGATAATACTTTAACTTTTTTCTGCCAAATGTCACCGCGTGACATTCTTAGTGACTCGTTTGGTTTTGATGAGACATATGTCATGTGTACAATCCATTAAAAGTCACTTTCTACTAATCCATTAATCAGTGATTTCTTTGCCTACAGGGAAACAATACAAGTGGCTGGAGCAAGATTTGGCTAATGTGGACAGATCCACAACTCCCTGGTTGGTAGCTACTTGGCATCCTCCCTGTTATAGTACCTACGAGGCCCATTGCAGAGAGGCAGAAGCAGAATGTATGAGGTTGGAAATGGAAGAGCTGCTGTACTCTTATGGCGTTGATGTAGTGTTCAATGGACATGTAAGTAACGATAACCACCAATGATTGTCACAATCTTTGATAGGTAACAGGTTTCTTTCTTATAGCCAGAAACCATGTGGAAGAAGTGGTATAAGGGTCCTTCGACTGAGGCTTTCTTGCATACCAGTAACCAGATAGTGATAGAAAGTTAAAAGGAACTGCTGTTTATGCTTTAAACTTTTGAGAAAACAGATTAAATGTGAAATTAATTGGTACTTGGTTCCCTTATTGCTAAAACACATAATACAAACTTATTTGAAACGCTGTCAGAAACAATGACCTTATCTTGAAACTGGTATCGCAGCAGTACCATTTGGTTCCAATCCCAAGCACGTTTTTATTAAGTTGTCCTTAGTGTCTATGAATGATGAACAATTTTCCTCATTGTAACTAAATATCTTTTTGCTTTAAAGTGCACTGAATGTTCTTCTGTTTTCTTGAATAAAACAATAGGTTCATGCCTACGAGAGATCGAATCGAGTTTATGAATACAACTTAGATCCCTGTAGTCCTGTGTATCTCACCGTTGGTGATGGGGGTTAATCAGGAGAAGATGGCAGTTCAACATGCTGACGAACCTGGTCATTGCCAGAGCCATTAACTACTCCTGACCAACACCTAGGTGCAGGTGCCTTTTGTGCAGAGAACTTTACCTCCGGCTCAGCAGCAGGTAAATTTTGCTGGGATCGGCAACCGGATTACAGTGCTTAAGAGAAAGCAGCTTTGGCCATGGGATCCTTGAGGTACTCCTTTTTCTGTGTTTCTGTTTGGTAAACATCCAGTTTGACAATGCATTCAATTTTCTATAAGCGTTATACTTTAATTTGTATGACCCTACGCATGATACAACTTGAAAATGATCGATGGAAAAATGAGCATGTGCTTGAGAGTCAATGAGCGTAGAAAGACCACACATGGGTAATGTTATGGAACCAGTTCAAATCATTTTTACCATTCCACTGCAACGTCACGAGAAAATCACTTCACACAGATATTTGTTTATACGGAGTGTGAAAATCCTGTGACTAACTTGAATATCCTTGATCGGTTATTGAGTAGCAAACATATAGATGTAGGCTAGTAGGCTAGAAGTCTGCTGAGAATGTATATACTAGAATTACAGCTCAGTTTCACCACCTGGATTATACACTAAGCGTGCATTTTGATGTGCATAACTTGCAGGTGAAGAATGAGACTTGGGCTTTGTGGAATTGGTACCGGAAGCAGGACTCCGACAATAAAATTGGAGATCAAATTTATATAGTGAGGCAGCCTGATAAATGCTGCATTCAGCCATGTGTTTAAAAGTTGGCTTGCTGACCTCTAATTCTCACTGCTGCTTGCTGGGAAATTTACTTATTAAGATCTCAAATCAATTGACCATTATTATCTAGATAGGAATAGACAGAAGGTGCAGAAAGAGTAGGAAGATGGAGTTTCACCTGTGTATACACACTCTATGTGTGTGTGTGTGTGTGTGTGTGTGTGTGTGTGTGGAGAGAGAGAGAGAGAGAGAGAGAGAGAGAGAGAGAGAGAGAGAGAAGCAAAAGAGCAACTCCGCTATTGTTTTATGTAAATGATTATACGTCTCCATTGTAACTTGAAACAGCTCTTGAATATACTCTCTCAACCAATTTATACAACAAAACGTGTAAGATTGGTTTTTGAAGCAATTTCAGATACCGAATTTTAAACTAGTTGCGTATTATTGTTGAGTTATTGCAAATTGGTTCAACTGATGAACCAAAAATTTCACCTCACCTTATTGTGAAGCCGAGAAATTGTTGGAAGTGACTTTTATTTTGTCACTTAGTGTTACCAGTTCACTTATTTTATGGTGGTAAGGCTTATGAGGGTGGTGTTTCAACAAAACACTTAGCTCCCAAGCTCACAATGCACCCCGTCTATATGTCATTCGGAATGTGGAAGGAGCAATGAGGTTCGCTATAAGCTCCGTACAAATAAACCTTCAACAACTTCCCATCATTGTATTCCCCATTATTTTCCAGGCCTGGGGTTCCACCTCCCTCTCATAGAGATTCTATCATTATCACCTGTTGTTGGTGTGAATGATATAATTTCTTACCGTCTCTTGTCCAAAACATTTGTAATATTGTGCCAATTATGTTATATATTTGCAGGATGCATAGCAATTTGGTGTCAGTAAAACTGTCTGCCCCATATTTGATCATGTTTAACTGGGGAATTTCATGGTCTAATTAATTTGGACGGATTTGAAAGGCTTTTAAAACAAATTAGAACCTAACTTTGGAATCTACTACCCCAAACAAATTGGCAAAGAAAAATCAAAGGACAAAAGTAACACACTGCAAATTACCGTAATCAGAATTCAACAGGTCATGTACATAACTACATTCTACATAACATTTACTTAGGATACGAAATGGTGAGATCGATAAATTCGAAATCATCATTATATTGTTGTTCTTATTAAATTAATATAGATATATGTAGCCACTATATATACCTAGAAGAGTAAATACCATACCAATGCATTAGGATTTCCACAATTTGTTGTCCTGACACAATCGACCGGATTCGCTGCGTTGTAGTCAAAGCAGATGACGACTTCCACCAGATACGGGCTCAACCCGTTATACTTGCACATAAGAAGAGGTGATTTCCCTCCTATAGTCCGTCGAATGGCCAATTCAAGGTCGATATAACGATATGGATAGCCTGGTACAATCCAAGTTGTTTGAGAAAATAGATGGAGTGCATTGTAGGTAGACCACAATCTATAAGCTTCATGGAAGTATTGTGTCTGGGAAAATGTATTGTCCGAGCACCTGCCGTGGTTGTTGTACTCATACTCCCAGATATCCATATTTGTTTGTCTAATGTTGAAGTTGGGCCAGGAATAGGACAAAAATAGTTGCAGATAATGATTGTTGGGATCATTCATCTGAAGCACAAAGACGAGAAAGTACATGCATTTCAGAAAGCCGCAGGAAAAAAAAAAAAAAAAAACAAACAAACTGAAATGAGTATATGTATGCGATGTGCACCTCACTACGGCTGAATGCGGTACCAGCGCAGGTTAAAGGAGCAGCTGGATTGGTGCGGCTGCTTGGCCAGAGGCCGTGCGTCGTAAAGGTACGGGGCAGTACTGGTTGGTCTCCGCAGATATTGGTTCCGTAGCAGAAGGCCAAAGGGGATTGCTGGACAAACTGGAAGATGTCATATGGTGTGGCAGCATTGCTCTTTCCGAGATAGGTGATGAAGCAAAGAGTGAGGACAACGAGAGCAATCTTGAAGAAGTGCATGATTGTCAAGCGGTTATCAGAAGAACACAGGGAGGGAGGATGGGAGGAGAAATAATAAAGAAGGCTAAAGAGTGATGCAGTTGTGAATTAACATTTCCAAGGAATTAAGAGGTGCTTAAATAGTTAGAATTAAGATGAAGCTGGCTAGCAAACAAGATAATAATTAAGGTCAAGTAAGTGTGAACATATACTGAATTAGGGAATATGCCTCTTTCTTGTTATCCAAGGCATTGCATTCTCATAGGCATGCTATAAAGGGCAGTAAGCGTGTAGTGGTTGATTCATCGTCAGCCCAATCAACCCAATAGTGGTTTCTCATATATCAGATTCAGACCCTAAGCTAGCTAATAGTCTCAATTTTAGATTACAATTCTATTTCAAAAATCCATTCAAGACCACGCTACCTAAACATGGTTCTGATCGAATAAATACAATAACGATTTGGACATTATTTGTGTATCTTTTCTTGTAAAAACGCACAACTTACACGACACTTAATTTGGTCGTCCATTCAATTGATTATTGAAGTTTCAACCACTACCTTCTAGCAGTAGTAATTCTTATCTTTGAAATTTTGGAGCTCTCCTCTTCATGGCTTCTATTGAACTTACTTATCCCACTTGCAGATAATTAATTAACTTGTGGATTAAGGTAAAAAGCTATTTCAATTTGCTGCTGCTAACCCGGGAGCTAGCCTCCGGACCGGGGAACTCATATCGTCCTATCGACACCCGCTTCGTCGCTACAAGGCGACACCGCAGGATGGATATCTGCGAATAGTCGTCGATTATCATTTCATTTCTTGGTTGTATTGCTTCATATTTGCAAATTGTTAATACAACATGCCTTCTGTTTAGTTAATTCATTAATCAAACATGATCAAATATACAACAAATAAATTTTTATCGACTCCAAGATTAAGTAGTTAGAATTGAGGTTAAGGGTAGAGTGTAGAGAAAGATTCAGTTGAAGCTAGCTAGCAAAGAATTAATTAAGGCGAAGTGAGTGTGTGAACATATTCTGAATTAGGGAATGCCTCTTTCTTGCTGTCCAAGGCATTGCATTGTCATATGCATGCTATAAAGGGTAGTAACTGTGTACTGGATGATTCATCATGAACCCAATCAACCCAATTACAGTGGTTCCTCGTACATCAGATTCAGATCCTATGCTAGCTAATAGTCTCAACTTTTAAATTATAATTCTGTTTCAGAAATCTACTCAAGACTACGCTACCTAAACATGGTTCTGATCGAATAAATACAAAAGCAATTTGGACATTTTTTGTGTATCTTATCTTGTAAAAACGTATAGCTTACACTACACTCGATTTGGACGTCCATTCAATTGATTATTGAAGTTTCAACCACTACGTTCTAGCAATAGTTATTCTTATCTTTGAAATTTTGGAGCTCTCCTCTTCATGGTTTCTATTGAACTTACTTATCACGCTTGCAGATAATTAATTAACTTGCGGATTAAGTAAATAGCTATTTCAATTGGGAACTTTCACGAAAAACTTCCGGTATTGTTCATTTTAACGAAAAATCACATTTTTACACTAAAAAGTCAATCCTGGTACTATTCACTTTACCCTTTATTTTGTCTTTTTCGTTAAAATTTAAGAGTAATGTTATTTATACCATTTTTTTGTATCACATTTTCATACCACCTTAGGTGGCATTTGATGTGGACAGCCACATCATTTGAATTAATTAGATTTTTAAATTTAGTTCATTATTTAATAAACTAATAATTAAAAAAAACTAGTTAATTAAATAATGATTGTGGTATACGAGGAGTCTTTCTCCTTCCTTTTCTTGGGTTTTGCAAATTTTTCAAATGAATAGCTGCCCACATCAGATGTCACTTAAGATGGTATAAAAATATAGTATAAAAACATGGTATGAATAGCATTACTCAAAACTTAAAATTTTTAAGCCCTTTCCTGCTGCTAACCCTGGTATATCGCCGACACCTACTTGGTCGCTGCAGGGCGATACCACAAGGTGGATATTTGTGGGTACTCATCATTTCATTTCACGGTTGTATTTCTTCACAGTTGCGGATTGTTAATACAATAATCAAACATAATCAATTATACAACATATAAATTTCTATCGACTCCAAGTTTACATCCATGATTTCGACAACAAAAGGATTTCATCAACTTCTACGTCCATATTGATGCATGTTGTATCAAGTACAACGTACTCTTGTACTTCTTGTTGCCTTCCATGACCGAAACTATACTCTTCACATATACAAGAGGTGAATGATTTGCTTTGCACAGTGGAAAATAAGACGGTGGTGGAGGAAAACAGGGAATAATCCTTACAGCAGTTTGAATGGGAAGATTTTTTAGGTTTTTAGTACGGATGTTATAGCAGACTATGCATCCATTATCCGTTAACAGAAGAACCTCGTCGCACTTCCACATTGCCAATGTGTTGCGCAGGTGGACAGGGGACATTGAGAACGTTGGGATCTTGGATGCAAAGTGTTTTGTCCAAACACCACCCTCATTGGTCGCACCACCACCAGAATCATCGTCCACATTTCAAAGGTTAGTGCATCACCATCCTCAAAAGTATATATATTCAAGCGAAAAAGAGCGATGGATTCATTCCACACCTTAAGACGAATGTCAAGGCCAACTCCTCTGAAATCGTTGAACTCTAGCATCTCATGTGGTAAGAGTATGTCTTGAAACACCTCACAACTCATGTCAAGCAAAATGATCACTCGCCTAATCTTTTCTTCCTCCTGATAGGCGGCATCATAGCTATGGACAAATTCCTTTTGTTGCTCACTTCCTATCCAATAACACATCCCCTTGAAGTACACCTGAAAAGTTTCAGGCCAAAGGAAAGTAGTTTCCGTTTCTAAAGAACAAGGCTTGATCTCTCTCCATGAATCTGTTCCCAAGGTATATACACTACTATCTTGGGAGGATGAATAATCAAATGTTTTGTGTCGCCATGCAATTGTGAACCAGAAAATCCAATTTTGACAACTTTGTAATCTTTAGATTTAGGATCATAGCCTAATCCCAAAACGTCGTTGAACCGACTTGTTAGTGGCATGTAAGGCATACCCAACCACCAAGGATGAGGATCCCTACGGGATACTTCGTCAAACCAATCTGGAATGTATGTCTCCAAGGGAAGGACCCTGAATTCCTGAATTGCCGGATTCCACAAAAGCACCTTAGTAGAATTAGGTCGAGCTAGACAAATGATCCCATCACAATGACCTATAACGTGAAATGATCGATCATCTCCAATCTCTAGACTCATAGAAAGAGGAATATTGACGTCCTCGATCCCAGAAAGAGTGCTACACTTATGCACGCCATCATCGTCATCATCAACAATGACATTGTCAAAAGTAAGTACTGAGAATACGTATTGAATTTTGTCACCTTTTGGGTCCTCTGTAGGAGGGACTAACATTCTCTTTAAAAAAAACACGAGTGGATTGATCGTCCAGCAAGGAATGGGAGAGGTGCTTGTCGACGAACCTGGGGTCGTTGATGAGAGCATGCCACCATTTAGCAACGCACTTGAATCGCATCAGAGATTTCGGAGGCAGAGTTGACAGAATATTCACCAACAAATCTTGTCCAATTTTGGATGTTTTGTTCGTCATTTGTGAAATGTCAAGTATCGACCTCAACCTTGTTCTATTACGCACACAAAAACCAACACAAGAAGATTCCATAATTATACATTCTCTCTAATTAAGCAGATTCTCAAAAGCTCATCATCATCTGGCATTGCTATTTCTTGTTAAAAAAAACATAAAAAAATCGCACTTTTTCTTGTTTGATTCATCCGTAAACACAAACGGGAAAATCAATGACAAAAGTATGATCTCGGCTAAAAGATTCCGAAAAGCTCAGTAGCATTTGAATTTTCTTTAATTTACTAATTAAAAAAAAAATTCTTTAATTTACTAAATTAAAAAAAAAAAACTCATGGATACATTCAAAATTTAACCCTACTGAAAATGCCGATTGAAATTCAAAGCGAAATAAGAATTGAAGCAAAAAAAAGTATCGTTCTTTCATTTTAAAAAAATATATAAATTGAAATTGAATAATAAAAAGCTAGAAATAAAGTTACCTTGTTGTATACTAGGCAGTAGGAAGAGGAAGAGACCAAAGCAGAAGCAAAGCTGCGAGTGAGAGGGAAAGGGGCAGACTCGGCGCAGAAAATGTATTTTCTGCGTTTTGTTCGTGCAGCTGCGCGCGATAATGCGATGGCAGAGGGGTTTTTATTTTGATTCTTGTGCTACCGTTTTTTTAACATCCTCCCAAATTTACGAACTTACCCTCCGAAATTTGGCCGCGGTCTGTCGTCTCCAAGTCAATGTCTTCTTTGTGTCTGTTTTCTAACTTTTTAACAGTTGTCTATAAACTTAAGGGAAATTTATTTAAACCCACGTAATTTCTTTTTACATTCAATTTACTTTCTACACACATATTATTTTTAACTAAACTATCAATATCTTTTTAAACCTAAATTTACTACCTAAACTACACTCACAAACCCAATCAATAAGTAAAATTATTTTTACACTCATTCAAAAAAATAAAAAATAAACATAGCATACGTTCTCTCCTCTTAAGTTTTTACCTTCCTCGACATATCCATCATATTTTCTTTCAATCTTCCGTCGCTTTGCAAGAACACACCACTCTTAGCATGAAACACAAATTTAGCAGAATTTAAAACCGTTGAACTGTTCATGTGGACAATAACAAGCAGAAACAATCTTTTTTTTTTTCTTTTTTTTTTTCGAACAATCGATATTATCTATACTAAGGGGGAGGGGGTGGGCTTAGCCTTACAATGGGATAGCAATAATGTGGTTCAAATTCGCCTTTGGCGAAAATCAAACCTAAGACCTCTCACTTACATGTGAAGAGAAATATCACTATACCATAGTACTAAGTGGCAAGCAAAAACAATCTTGGGGACTAGGTTTTGAATCTTTTGAAGCCAAAATTGAATTCAAACTAGTTAGATAAGAGAAATAGCACACCATTATCAATCCAACTTATATGAACCCGGAATGGCGGATTAATCATGCCAAAATTTCGAACAAGAGCAAGGCAAATTTCGGAAGCGAGAAGAATAACAGACAAACTGAAATGGTTCACATGAATGAAGTTCTGTTCACATGAATGAAGTTTTGATCCCCCATTGCTACTACAAAATAAAGCTAGGAACAAAAGCATATAAACCTTGCCTATCAAGTTGCACCAAGAGAGACACAAATGTGCGTGTGAAGAAAAAATAAATATTTTACCGATGATCATCTAGTCTTCCACTTTTACTTTGTCTAGATTTTAGTGAGTTTATGTCTTCAAACATAATAAGCGCTAATTTAACAATGTTATCTTTTCAATAGACTAATATAACAAATAAAAATAAATAAAAGAAAAAACAAAATGTGCCAAACTCTCCACCTACCCAATAACACTGCTCTAAAAATCTCTGCCTAGGTGTTAGGCAGCTAATCATCATCCCAATTAATTCTTAGGTATTTGAAAATTAAGAAGGATTTCTAGACCTGCTTAGGCTCCTGCCTAGATTGCTTAGACTGCCTAGACCCGCCTAGGTCACAACTCTTATTTAGACATAAAATAGATAATTTTTCTTTTATATTTTTTTTTTTGATAAATTGTACGAGATTTCTTGAATACTTAGATAAACACACATCATATCTTTGCTCCCCACGTTTTCATTATGTTAATATTTTGCAATCTTTATGTCATTCTAGTTTGCAATTTATGCATCTCAATGAAAATTATGTATTTTTTTAAATATACACAGACACTTATTTATACGATATAATAATTTATTTAAACCTTAGGTCCTATCTTACGGTCCGACTAACGTCTAGTGTATTTTAGAACATTGGCCGATAATCACCCACCAAACCACACAACCTCGTCACCGGCCATCCTTGCAATTTCTGCTACTAAATCCTAGATGGGGGAGCACACTAATCAACAACGCAATCCAAATCAACGCACAATATTTTTGAAGGAACTAAAATCTTTGGCTTTCTTTGGTTTTTTAGAAACTACGGCTATGCTCAAATTTCAGAAAGAACCGAAAAAACGAATTGTGGCTATCCTCAAATTCCAGAAAAAACGAATTGTGGCTAATCCTGAGATTCTAAACTACCAGAAATTTGTTGATGGGCTAGATCCATCATATAAGGGTTTTTGCAACAACGCTTCTCTAATTTGAAGAGAAAGGAAGAGAGCTGATGAAAAGCTTCGCGGACAACGGGTAGGACTCGTTGAGGCAGATGGTCGTTGGGTAGTTCAGGGGATGCTGTTGTTTTTTTTTTTTATTTTGTTTTTTTTTTAGTTTTTTTTAAATGTTAACATTGTTGAATTGGTGTTAAGTTGAAGCACATGTCACTAAGTTAGAAAGAAAACATGACGAAGACACTAGTTTAGGGATGTTTGAATCTGAAACGCAAGGTAGAAATCAACTTCCAAACCATTAGAATATTGGACCATATGTATTATGTTCAACTGACACACCCCGACCGAAATCTCAAGAATTGGTAAATAAATAAATAAATTTAATACATTTGATATTATCTATACTAAAGGATTGAATAATGGCCAAACCTCACAATGGCTAATAATATTGTTTTTGTTTGAATTCGCCTTTAGTCACACGTATAAGAAAATTTAAATTTCGTTCATTCACTAATCACCCGAGAATGATATTCATAAAGTGATTATCCAAAATTAAAAACAAAACACCAATAAATAATCCAAATACATAGAAAAAGAATAATACTAGGGAGACTAAATTTGCAAACCAAGTAATGTGTCACCAATGAGGAATGATCACATTTATCCATGTTTAATTAATAATCCAATCAACAACTTCGATGTCATTTAATTCACAAAATTGTCTTTAAATTTGGTCTCCCTAAGGACCCTAACATTACTCTGTAGAAAATTGTTCAAAAACTTGAACCAAATATTAAGAGGGCGTTTAGCCACTAGGAGGAACTCGGGCACATGTTGGCCCTTGTTTAAAAGTTCTAATCTTCCATCAGTGTAGATGACTCTTGAAAATCAAAAAAGTACTTTCCGAGCTCCATATGGGCTTGGATGATAATTTGGTAACTTGGGTGGTGACTTGGATCATCTCGTCAAATTTTAAACATAAAATTTAATGCAAATAATAAATTTGAAGTTAGTGTCAAATATGATAGTTACCATATTTGATGTCAATATACGTTATGTCACGTAGCAATTGGCATTACGATTGAAAAACACCAAAGTTGTCTTTTTTTTAATGTTATTGCTGATGTGAACTTTTCACTCCGGAGTTGTTGTTAATCCAAATTTGTACACTTAAAAGCACCAAAAGAAATCAAACTTGCAGACTGCAGTGGTTACCAACGAGGAACATATATGTACATACAAGAGCCTAAACGCAAGGCATTCATTCATGAAACTATTTAGTTACAAGAAAAATACAACTTGAAACTTCAACTCAAATATACCAAATACCAAAAAAAATAAAAAATAAAAAATCAAATAAAACAAAGATTTCTACTAATAACTCCAATTAAAATAAAATGCATAAATCGAATTTGCTTGCAGTAACTTTTCTTTTACTTTTACTTTATCAGGTTCAGAAAATATCCAGAATTTCCAAGATGAAATTGTTGCAGAGGGGACAATTGCCCCGCTGGACCCACAGCTCTCGGGAGCACATCCTGCAGAACGTGTGCCCGCAGGGGATAAACGCCGCCCCTTTATGCCTCACCATGCACACGCAGCAGTTATACTCCACATTCCCTTCTTCCGCCGCTGCTTCCTCCTCCTCCTCTTCCTCTTCCTCCTCGCACTCCTCCTCATCCTCGTCCTCGTCCATCGTGTACCTCGACTCCACCCCCATCTGCCTGTCCGTCTCTTCCAACAAGTCCATCAACGACATCCTCACCGGCTCCGCCGTACCCGCCGCCGTACCCGTCTCCACGGACGGCATTTCGTTCCCGGTCTCTTCTTCTGCCTCAGCGGCCTCTTCCGACGCCGCCGATGCCGCGGCGGCAGCTTCGGCGGCCTCCTGCGCCGCCATCGCTTCTCTCGCCGACAGCGATCTCTCCTCTTCCAACGCCGCCGACAACCGCCGCCTTGGCGAGTCAGTCGCGACTTCGTCGGCCGCGAACCGCACGGAGCTCCGGCGCGTGAACATCGAGGCGCGGGGGTTGTCTGCATCCACCTCGTCGAACGGAATCGAGGAGTTGGGGCTCAACCGGGTGGAGCCCCGCCGCGCAATCTGCCTCTCCTGCTGAGTCATGTCGAGATTGGACTCGGGGGTGACGTAACGGACCGAGCCGCGACGCGAGTTGTGAGATCGCGGGTGGTGGTGGCGATTGGAAGCGTAGTTAGCTGTGTTCCGGATAGGGATATCGGAGGTGGGGACACGGACGGAGGAAGTCCAGGCGGAGCCGGCGCGTTTGAGTAGGAGGCGGTCTTTGAACGACTTCCAGGCTTTCTTATCCTTCTTGCCAATCAGGGCCCGGTAGGACTTGGGCTCCTCGTCGCGGATTATATCGAGTAGGGTCCGACCCGAGATTGTGGGGGGAAGTGCGGGCGGTGTAGGGGGCTGTTTGGCGGCTGCAGGGGCCAGCAACAAGTCGTCTAGGCTCAATCCGGCTAAGTCTCTCCCGTTGCTACTTGCTGACATCTGATCGAGAAGCGTTAGCCTCCGGCGACCTTCCATTTCATAAAATCCACACAAAAAAACAAAAATTAATATAAATAAAAAATAAATAAATTTCTATTGGGGGAAGGAGGAAATCAAAGGATCGGATTCGGAAGCGTCTGTTGGTTTTGCTTGGTTTCTGCGTTTTGATGTTTCTTGGGAACTGTGACTGAACCAGCCATGGGGATCTATCATTCTTTAAGACTCTGATTTATTTTCTTTCCGTTGACTAATATACTCGTTTTCTGAGGGCATCTAAGCAAAACAACACAAGAAAACGTACAGTTTTGATGTTTTCAATTACGAAATACGTACTTCACGCATCAATTACCGTATCCACTTAAGAACTATAATTTTTATGCGTATACTAAAATAAGTACATCACGCGTTACTACTTAATGAGTGTGCATAATAAACATAAAATGTGATTATGTTGATTCGTCGGTCCTTTTGTGGCTAATTAACGTATGTTGATCGACACTGCATTTCAAGTAAGTCACTAACCCATCAATTACCTAAAATTCTCTAATGCTTGATGAAATTTGCATAATTAACGTAGAATGTTGATGTATCGATTAATATGCTTCTTTCTTCAATTCATCAGCCTATTTGTGCCAGTCGATCTGATGTCTTGTGTCAGTCAACAGGCACCACATTGCACATTGTTATGCAACTTTTATTATGCATGGGAGAAAACTTGCGTGTACAAGTCTGAATTTAGAACATTTGAATTTACAATTATGCGAAATTTTGATAATGTTAGGGGAAAAGATGAAAATGGGGAGTTGCATGGGATACCTTACGTCCCGTGACCGTTGCTTCTGGTGGCACCGTCAGATACGATGGCTCCGCCAGCTTTCAATTATTTTAAGTGTTGTTTTATCTATCTCTCTGTGCAAAAAGGATGAAAGAGAAAGCTGAGATTTACCTGAGCCCGAGAGAGACAAAGAAACATTCATATGATGATGGAAGCAAAAGAATAGTAATTTAGATAAAAGATGAGAGAGAGAGAGAGAGAGAGAGTTGACGCACCAAAAGGCAAAAGCTAGGCGATGGATGGAAGGGCAAATTGGCGATGGTGGTGGGTCACTGCGTGTTTGTTTTTTGGTTTGCTTGGTTTCTTTCTTTTTAGCATAATTAGTAATTAGTTGAGTGGATGATTGATTGATTAATCGTGGTGGTTGGTTAATCTCTGTTTTTTTTGTTTGGTTTTGTAATCTTCCGACTTTAGCTCTCGAAATGTAGGATGGAAAGAGAAGGATGGTTTTTTGGGGGGACTTGGACAATGGGAGCGCGTCTTATGGAATGTAAGGCACTAGGGTCCCTCTACTTCCCCTTGTTTGTGGTAAGTAGAGCATTGTGTATATTCTTCAATTCTTTTTCGGTTTATCAAACTTATTACGTGAGTAAAAATGTAAGTATAGTCGGTGAGGGTGACATCAATGTTAATGTCTTCCAACCAGAAAGAAATGCTAGGACTATGCACAATATATCAACATGAGAAACATATACAAGCATGAGCTAATCTGATCAATGTATGTTTGTGAGATTTAGAAAGCTAGAATAGTCACCATTGGATGGTAACCTCCCACACATAAGGATGTTCTGTTTTTTTTTTTTTTTTTTTTTTGTTTTAAACAAATAGAAAGAAAAAAAGTACACTAACAATACATTAGTTTTGAAGGTTTTCTGGTGGGAACTTTGTACAGAACATGTAGGTTTTTGGGGACTTGGCTTATTTGCCCTCCCACTTTTCATACACTCACATCCCTTCTTATTTATACGGTCACGGTTAAACCACGTTAATATTTTATATTAGTATTGTTTTTTGTCTTATTATCTCTATAAAAAAATCAATATAAAATATTGACGTGGCTTAACCGTAACCGCACAAAATAAGAGAAGATGGGAGTGTATGGAAAGTAGGAGGGCAAAGAAGCCGGATCCGGTTTTTGGTAGCTTCATATTGGTTCAACATGCCCATCATGTACTAAACTTCTTTTTTTATTCAGGGTGGCAACAATGAACCAGAGTATGTCGTACTTCGACACTTAGAACTGTATGATCCAACATTAAATTTGAACAGTTTTAGGTGCCATGATATGCGCTAATATTGGATCAAATGATTCTCAAGTATCGCAGTACGTCATAATGATCTGATAGACATTTTCAGAGATGTTGATCTAATGCAAGAATGGGATATATTTTTAATGTAGGTGTGGCATTGTAGGTTCTCTTTGTCAGTCATTGATGACTTCACATGTCTTGCCATTGCTTCTTTAAATACTCTGTCACTATCTCAACAAAGAAAGTAATAGAGGAGGTGTCACTATCTCAGAGACATGGTTGTCAATTTGGAGTTTTCAAAATTTTCACCTTACTCTCTTCTTCCCAAAAATTTCAGTTCTCGCACACTATGAATTGGTAACCATGGTTGTCAATTGGAAAATATCCATCGAAATACGCTGGGGAAACTGAGGATTTGAATCTGCAAACGGAAGAAACAACTCAAGATTTGAATTTCGGAACTGGAAAAAGTCTAGAGTAAACCCACAATTTGATTTTGTCTCTCTTTTTTCCAAACTTAGTTTTTTCTTGTGGATTTCTCCCTATATCTTAATCTTTCTCTAAATTTTTTCCATCGGAAATTTGTGAATGTTAGTTTTTTAAAATCATAGTCTACTCAATTAAAATTTTTTAAAGAATTTTGAAATCTATTCAAATCTAAGGGTAGTTAATTAAAGGATTTTAGAATTATTTAAAATTTAGATGTAGTCAATTAAAAAATTTTAAAGGATTTTAAAATCCATCGTGGTCCAAGTGTATTAACAAAATTAAGATTTAGAGAATTTTAATAAGTTGCAGATTTTGTAGAATTTGAGAACCAAAAGTATATATAATTAAAATTAAAAAGAATCCAACCTCACCTCCTAGGATTTCAAATCCTTCCACCACAATTAATTCAAATTCTTTAAAAATCCATATGAATTTTGTAAGAGTTCTTAATCCTCTTAAATCCTATCAAATCTATTACTTTTTAAAATCTTTTAAAATCTTAGTTTGACTACATCACCTAAATACATGTTCTAGAATCGTGAATAATTTGTATATTTTTTGCTCTATGAGCTATTGGGTTTGCTTGATCGGTTTTTAATGGAGTTTTTGTAAATTCGGAGCCATGAGTCCATGACCTTTTCATGGTTTGAGAGATGGGACCAGAAATTTTTTACAGATCCTGGCGAGGGAGTGTGAGGAAAAGGAGAGAGGAGAGAGAAATACCATTTTCCTTTTTTAACAGTGAGACCCAAGTGCTGCGGTGGTGACGAGGGAGTAGGAGGGGAAGAGGGTGGTGACGATGAGTTTTAACACAAGTGCTGCGGTGGTGACGAGGGAGTAGGAGGGGAAGAGGGTGGTGACGATGAGTTTTAACAGTGAGACCCAAGGGCTCCGGGGGTGACGAGGGAGAAATACCATTTTGTTCAGCTTTTTCATATTAATACATTGAAGGTTTAGGGTGTTAATTTTTGAGCAAATGAATGGACACATGTCAACTAAATAAGAAGTGAGACACAAACGAGACACCAAAATCGGGACAGGAGACCCGCAGCCGGCAAATATCGCCGCATGCAACTTGCAAAAAAATAATTAAAAACAGATAATGCCAGATAAGCACACAATGAAAAAATATTTTCTATGTGCGAAAAAAAAGCGCGGCTTCTGGAGACTTCCATAGATTCGTTGGTTCCCAGCATCTCCTCCTTTTTTGTCACCACCTCCCCTGCGGCCCCAAAACCCAGTACCATCAACTTCTTCTTCTTCAGCCTCTCCGTGTTTTCTCTCCGAGCTCAGAAATCGATCAGGTAATTTCAATTTTCCCTCTGGTTTTTTTAATAATATTTTTCTCGTTTAGGAATTTGGGATTTTGATTCGATGAAATCGTAATCGATTTTTAATTGGTTGTGGAATTTCAGGGGTTTTTGTTGTATTTGTGATCTGTTTGGCCGTTTCAGCTTCACTCACACAATTCAATAATGTCCCATATCCTTTGCAATCGGATCTGATTATTCTTCCTCTGTTATTTTTTGCGAAATCTTTTGTTTTTGACTTGTTTGGCTGCCGGGAAACGCCGAGAAAATCACGAAAGATTCGATCTTTTTTTGTTCCTGATCTTTGAATTCATGTTATGTTCGGCGTTTTCTCGGCAACCAAACGGATTGTAATTAGAGAATTGTTTTGTTTGTGATGCTTTAAGTGTTTTTTTGTTTGCCTTAACTGAAGCGAACGCGGAAACCAGAGGGATCGAGACCGCGAAAGGGCTCAGGCCAGGTCCGGCGGCAATAAATCCAAGCCCAAAAACGACGGATTAACCCCCGAACAACGCCGCGAGAGGTCCCTTTCTTTGAATTTCATGCCCCTTCAAGCTCAATGCTTGCTTGTGATTCAATTCTGAAATTGGGATTTTGTTTGCGATTCAATTTTGAATTGGGATTGTGTTGGTGATTCAATTCTGAATTGGGATTTCGTTTGTGAATCAATGGTGAATTGGATTGTGTTTGTTTTACAATTTGGAATTGGGATTTCGTTTGTGAATCAACTCTGAATTGGGATTCTGTTTGTTTTCGGCTTAGGGACGCAAAAGCGCTGCAGGAGAAGGCGAAGAAGAAGGCAGCGGCCGAGCAGGCAGGAGGGATCAACGCCGGTGGGAAAAAATGAGATGGGATGGAGATAGTGTGAGGATTAGGGACTATATTAAATGGGATTAATGTGATTGTGTGTATTGTAATTGTATGGTGTGGGGTGGGAATTAGCAGTAGCGGAGCTAGAAATTTACGGGAAATGGGCGGGATTTCAAAGGGTAAAAGATCCTCAAAAATTTAGACAATCAAATAGTGGATAATATTAATGTCTGTTATAATCTGTAATTATCAAATGACCAAAATACCCTGGTGATGGTGTCTTAAATAAATATAGGTTGAGTTGTGACTTTTGGGAAGAGCAAAATGATAAAATGTTGTCATATTTGATAGTCGTTGACTCTCTACTACATATTTCAAGAATGATTAAGAGAAAGATGCTACGCTTATTGTTTTTTAATTCCAGTTTATAGGGAGAAGCATTTGTTATACTTGGTCATTTACTGATTTGAATTTCTTGTTCAGTTTGTTGTACAAACCAAATTCTATATGTATTAGTCTTATATATGGTTCTTTTAAACACCAAAGTGCTCCCAAATCTTATATGGCTTAAGATCATAAATTCATGAATTTCATTATAAGAACTGATTAATAAAAAATCCAGATTAAAATAACAAAAAAGAGAGGAATAAAAAGAAAAATTTAGCACAATAATGCCTAAATAATAATAAATTGTTTTTTTTTGCTGTTTTTTATTTTTTATTTTTTTACTGTTTTACTTGGGGGGCGCTGCACTTCTGCTCTAATTGGAGGTTGAAAAGTAAAAGGTCCCAGAGAGGAGAGTACGTGTCTCGTACATGTCTCATCTCTAATTACGTCCACCCACTAAACCATAACTTAACACTGTTAAATTTAATTTATAAAAATAAAATAAAACATCAACAATAAAATAAAAACCCACCACCGGAAGTCATGACATTCTTCCTCCCCTCCAATACCACGATATCCTTAGCCCCAATCCAACACATCAGCCATGACCTAGCCTCCTCTGATCAGGTATCATGGTCGTCCTTGGTGGCGTCAATCTCGTCGGTTTCAGTCAGTCAGAAGATTGTGGAAGGAGAGACAGCAGCAGCAGCAGAACAAGAACCGGACAGCAGCAGCAGCTGAACCAGTCTGGTTTTCTGGCGAGGGGAGGGGCTAAAACGCTCTCCAGACGTGTTTTTCCGGCGAGGGGAGGGGAGGCTACCACTCCCCGCCCTCACAGAATTAAAAGGTCGTTTGTTTTTGGGTTGGGATTTGGAGTCCGTCTCCGTTTGTGTATTCGAAAATCGAGATGAACAATCAAATATCTAGTTTTTATTTTGGGTGTGCAACCTGGATCTACTTGTTGGATTCTGAAAAGCTTTCAACTTTATAATGCCTTTGAATGTAGCATTAAATTTGTTTCATTTAGAGCATCCTAGCGGGGGTCTTATCGTCCACAAGGCTACTATATTTCAAGTCTTAGTGAGAAATTTTCTCTCCAATGAATCAAAAAATGAGGTTAGATCTCCTATTGGGACTAATAACTTCCTTTCTTGGATAGCATAAAATCGGACTACATCTAGCCTAAAAAAACAATGGGTCCAAAAAAAAATTAACAACTCATGTGAGCAAAATTATATCACTTTCTCTCCATTTGCGAATACATTTATACTCTCTTTTATTCTTTTTTTTTTTATTTTATTTTTTTTGCAATTTGGATAATTAATGATTATTTTAAATTTCATAAAAATTAAAATTTCAAATTGATTTTACGTTCATGAGCATTAGTAGATGAAATTTTTAAATAAATGTTTTTTTCAAAATTGTATGATACTAATTTACCAATTGGTGCTAAGTAAATTGTTGTGTTGTATGTGAAAATATCAATTATTTCAGAGAGCGAAGTAGAAGTTTGTATCTTTCAATGGATGAAATCGAGATAAGGGAATCTAATCAAACGAACTGTTCATAAGTGATGAAATCTAATTTTGTCACAATTTGAACTTTTTTGGGTTGACAAATTCATAAAAAATTTTAAGATATCACGTCCACAAATCAACTTACGAAAAGTTAACACAAAAAAAAAAAAATCGCATAATCAAATTACGACATAAATAAAAGGGTAAATTACACAGAACTACCTCAACTATTGGGTCATTAACAGTTTTATACCTCGTCTTTAAAAAGTTTCAATGTCATACATTTTTTACGAAATTATTGCAATGTTCTACCTCCGTTACATTATCTGTCAAAACCTCTGTTATATGCTGACTTGGCTTATGAGGGGTCCCATCCTCTCCACATATGAACTTCCACGTGATCTGCCACGTAGATTTCCTGCCAAAATTAATTTCCACGTCATTTTTGAAAAACAATTTTGGATTTTTTTTCCAACTAAATTTTTTCCCGCCAAAAAAAATAATATTTAAAAAAATTAAATTCTTAAAAGGTCCAATTTTGGAAGATAATACAACCTAAAAAACCAGATGGAAATTCTACATAAACACATGATCCCCACATCAACACATGATGTAAGCTAGAGATGAACACAAATCCTACATAAACACATGATATAACCAAAAGATGAACACATAGTCCACTTCAAACATTTAATCCATCCAACATTTACAAAGATATCCATCCAACATTTACAAAGATATCCATTTGACATCCTTAAATATCCTAAAATGTACAGTGCACTGATTCAAAAAACCTACTGTCAAATCCATTTAGCAAAATAGTGCAAAACAGTGCATTTTCAAGTTCCAAATCAATTCAAAAAACCAAAAGAAATTCAATGTTTGTGATGTCTAATTCTAGAACCCATGTACTATAATTTCAATTCCTATTGCACATAAAACATGAACTAAGAAAATAATAATTTGTTACAATTTGTAGCATCTTTAGGTCATGGTTTGCCTTGTCTTTCTCTGCTTGGTGGGTCTCGGTGAATGAGCTTCAGGATTTGCAGATAAACCATCTTCTGTTTGTGATGCCTAATTTCAATGTTCATTACAAAAGGTCAGATGCAAAGCAAGGTTCTAAACTAAATTTCTTGTTGTAAATGAATGAGAGGATTAGGTTTTTACCTTAGATTTCCTTGTCCTATTTCTCAGAGCAGCTTCGGCTGATGATGATGCTCTCCCTTGTGCTAATGTGGATGCCTATAACAAAGTATAAAATCATTTGAGCACATGGATTAAAGGATTAAGGATTAAAGGATTAAAGAAAGTACAAAATCTTACCTGTTTGTCCTTTGGAGGAAGATGTCGATGATGGGTCCTTGAATTATGTCATTCTTGCTTGCATATAGTACAGTTCAAAGGACCTTGCCCTTTCCTTCCTAGCTTAAGTGGCTTAAAAGGACATTCAGGATTATTTAGTGGGTTGGTGGGAGTTTGTTCACCATCTTTCTCCAATTCAGTAGCTTCTTTGTTTCTCTTCTTCCTTGGTCTTCTAGGTTGCCTTGTATATAATGGAGGCAAGATTGGTGGGTTTTCAGTATCATCCCACAATGACATACCATTCATTGGCATTATTAAGTGAGAATAGACTTCTAAGTACTGTGCCTTTGAATAGTAAGCATCCACATAATGCTCAGGTTTTTCTCTCTTGAAATGGACTGGTAGATATTGCATGGTTGCAAGGTATTCCTGTCAAGTTATACTTCCTACAAGAGCATGATTTGTCAACTAAGTCCACCACATATTGCTCTCCACCTCCAACATCCACTTGAATTTGGTCCCTCCTGACCCTTGTGCAATGGATCTGCCACTTTCTCCAACTTCTTCTTAATCTTAAGGCAGAAATCTCTTACTTGCTCCATCATTATACCTCGCCTAATTTGAATTCTCCTTCTCAACATATTGTGAATCATTTGTAGCATAGTTATAATAGGCTTTTGCATTAGCACTAGTATGATTGCATTGAATGATTCACACAAATTATTCAGCAACATGTCACACTTTGGATTAGTATCAAAGTGGGACTTGCTTCATTGGGTTGCAGGCTTCTTCACTAGCCATTTGTATGCCTCCTCATCTAACTTCTTAACCTCATCCATTGTCTTTTTGAAGTGTGGAACTGTTGTTGTTTTGGTAACTGCCCATAGAGCATCCTTCAAAGTCTTTCCCTTGAACAAATTCTTATAGTTTGTGTACAAATGCCTCACACTGAATCTGTGGTGGCATCAGGGGAGAACCTTTTGAAATGTTGGAATTAGCCCATTTTGCTTGTCACTGATAAATGTCCACCCATTTTGGTTTTCTATACCCACATCATTAGCTAATAGTTGTAAAAACCAAATCCAAGCTGCCTTATTTTCCATTTCCACCACTGCATAAGTAATAACCCATGTCTCATCGTTTGGATCAATGTTAACAGTATATAGCAACTGCCCTCTATGTAAAACCTTTAAGTGGCACCCATCTAAACCTATCAAATATCTACATCATGCCTTAAAGCCTTCTTTGCATGCCCCCACACAAACATATATCCTCTGAAATCTTCCCCCATCCAACTTCAACTTCACAGTGCTTCCAGGGTTAGTCATTCTTACTTCCTCAGCAAAATCCCACAGCTTTGTATATTGCTTTGCATGTTTCCCTTCAATAATCTTGAAAGCTTTATTCAATGCCCTGTAAGCCTTCATCTTTGTACAGCCATGATTCCACTTGGATTCCACAGTGGATAAAAAGGATTCGACAAGCCATGTGAGATTAAGCTTTATCCGATCCAAGTACAAATCTGTGAGTAAAGAAGTAGTCATATTCTTATTTTCCCAAGTCCTCCCACAGGTGTGGTCATCAAAGATTATCTTGATTTGGATGTTGTTTGATCCATACATCTTACCAGCAGAACACATACAAGGGCAATCTTTTGCACATTTGGCAATAATCTTCAACTTCTTATTCCAATGAAAATGAATTTCCCCATATCCATTCACCAAGGAATACATCATCACGCCTCTCTTGAATTGCACATTGTATCTGAAAATAAGCTCTAGAGTAAATTTTGGATTCTTCATGTCCGTTTTCTCATTAAACTCTGGATAATGCTTTTTTTTTTTTGCCTCCTTCGTCATCTTCAGAATGTACACTTTCCAGATCATCAGAATTATAATCTGGATCATAAACCAAATTCACCTCCCCATCTCTAGCTTCGTTAACCTCTTGCTGTCTATCCCCTTCTCCTTCATTGACTTGCTTTTCTTCTCCTTCATTGCTCTCCTCAGTTTGTCTTTTTTTCCTTTTCTAATATTGTCTTCGTGTTCTTTGCTCATATTGCACCTCATGTGCTTCCTAAATCACATCATACTTAGCAAAATTTGGGTTATCTTCATCACTCCCATAATCACTCTCTACAAAGTCACTATTTTCTTCAGAATCTTCTTCATCACTTCCTTCTTGGTCTCCTTCAAAATCGAGAGGTACATCAAATAAGGTATCACCTTGTTCCTCTTCACCTTGTTCGCCAACTTGTACATCTTCATCCTCAGCTTGTTCATCAACTTGTACACCTTGTCCTTCAACTTGTTCACTAACTTGTACACCTTGCTCACCAACTTGTTCAGCAACTTGTACATCGTCAATCTCAACCACACTTGTACCTACCACCTTTTCTTGGTGAAAACCATCATCCGAGCACATAACCGTCACCTCTTCTTCAACAAATACCCTCTTATTATCGAAAGGTCATTCAATAGTTAGCAACCCCTTTCTTTTTCTTGGTTTACAAGTCCTTGCCATAACATCCTCTTCCTTATCACTTAATTCCTCAATAACCACTGTGCTTGGATCGGTGCACTCCATAGACTCTATAAAATGTTGTTCCTTGGTAAGGGTTTTTTCTGTAAACAATTCTTCAATGTACATGTCTAATAATCGAGCCTTTGGAACAAAGTTGCACATCTTCTGTACATCGGCATCACTCTGAATGGGCTTCAAACCATTACTAATATCTATGTTGGGAATCTTGTAGTAGTAGTTCATGAACATGTCACTATATCCTAGAGCTTGCACCATATCATCTATCACAGGGAGTGACATTAAGTCCTTGTCGTAATAATCAATATAATCAACTTTCCCCCATGATAGTATTCATGACCGAGCTTCCCACCATGATGCAAACGAATTGAAAATAGTTCTGGATAACCTGAAATTCAAAAAAAAAAAAAAAAATAAAAAATAATTTAAAACCCTAGAACCACAGCTCACCCGAAATGTAAACAAAGCAAAGTCCAAAACACATCACAGAGGAAAGCCCTAACCCCTAAACCCTAACCCTTAAGCCCTAAGCTATGATCCCTAAGCCCTAAACCCTAAGCCCTAAGCCCTAAACCTTAAGCCCTAAGCCCTAAACCTTAAGCCTTAAGCCCTAAGCCCCATAAGCCTCCTAAGCCCTAAGCCCTAAGCCCTAAGCCCTAAAGCCCTAAACCCTAAACCCTAAAGCCCTAACCTCTAAGCCCTAATCCTTAGGCCCCAATGCCTAAGCCCTCCTAAGCCCAAACCCCTAAGCCCTAAGCCCTAAACCCTAAACCCTAGAGCCCTAACCCCTAAGCCCTCCTAAGCCCAAACCCTTAAACCTTAAGCCTTAACCTCTAGGCCCTAAGCCCTAAGCCCAAATAAAACACTACATCTTCTTCACCAACAAAAAAAACACCAAAATGACCCTAATTAGTGCAGCCAACAAACCTTAGGACCACACCTACCCCAAATACAAGCAATTGCAATTCAATATATTCAACAAACCTTAGGCCCACACCCACCCTAAACCACAAGATGACCCAAAATGGCTCCATTATCCAACAAATTAGTAAGCATTTTGAATAAATTTGAATTTGAAAACAACCTACCCATCTCTAACAAACAAAACACCAAAAAGACCTTCCATTATTCCACTTGGCAGAATAAACAAAACAAAAGCACCCAAATTTGAGCCTTTGTTTGTTAAACAATTATCCAAATGACCCCCAGGACCACTAACACCCATACTTTTTCCCCAACAACAAAATACAAAGCATCCACGAGACCCCTGGACCACCAGCACCCAAACAACCTTTTTCTCAACAAGAATAAACAAAGCACCCACATGACCCCCTATTCTACAACATATCAGTAATCATTTCCAATAAACAATCAATGAAACCCACATATCGCCAACAAAGATTTTGGAATCAACAAACCCGGAATAACGGGAATAAAAAAAGGGAACCAACGAAGCACAAAATGAACTGAAATTTGTACTTACAGTAGGTAGTCGTCGTTTTCTCGGGATCCTCGTGCACATTCCACCCCATTTCAATTCCTTCGAAATACTGTCAAATCCTTTGAAAACCAGAAAAACTTAGGGTTTTCAACAAAAATGAACAAAAGGAAGGTAGGCGACGACAAGCCATAAACAAAGGGATTTCACTGAATGAACTAATGATCGCGATTTGGCCGGTGATTTGGGGCGGGTGATATGAAATTAGGGTTAAGGTTCTTTGATTTGGGAACTGGAACGATGAAACGGAATGAAATTGCACGGTTCATGAGGGAAAATTTAAAAAAAAAATTTATTATTTAAATTTTTTTTAATATACATGTGTCATGCTATTAGACGATCCACGTGTATCAGGAACCAACGTGAAAGTTCATATGTGGAGAAGATAGGACCCATCATAAGCCACGTCAGCATATAACAGATAAATTGACAGATAATGTAACGGATGTAGAACATTGCAACAAATTTATAAATAAGGTATGACATTGAAACTTTTTAAAGATGAGGTATGAAACTGTTAATGCCCAATAGTTGAGGAAGTTATGTGTAATTTACCCTAAATAAATATATATAGTTCCAAATAGATCTCAAAAGAAATAACCCCTCGTTGGGAGAGATTCTTTTATAAAACCTCAAGGATTTCTCAAAGCTCTAAAATAGACTATATGCACTACTTTTCCAATTCCATATAGAGCCCCTCATTAGAGATGCTCTTAGTCCCTTCAATGTCCAAAAACAATGCGAACTTTGAACCTAATGGCCGAGGTAGGAACTAAGTCAAATACTCTTATGCCCCCTCAATGGGACTAGAATTCTCTCCCCTACTCTTTCCATCCTTTCCCATCCTCTCCTCTCACATTCTCTATTTTGTATTTCTCTTTCTATAACAAATTAATATAAGATGTTAACGTGGCTTAACCGTGACCGTTCAAATAGGAGGGGAGAGAATCATACTCCCCCTTAATGATGCCAACATGCTTACAATGAAGATGAGTTTGTACCTCTATAACCCAAATTTATTACCTTGCTAGCAGTTTCTCTTTGATTAGGAGGGAACTATGCAATCATGAATTTTTTTTTTTTTTGGTCAAAGGAAAGATTTCCATTCCAACAAAAGCACAAATACATAATGGTCTAGATACATCAAGTCAGAACAAAAGAACAGCAGGACCAGAAACCTTAAAACCAGTGCCCAAAGTGAGTAGAGGGCCCAGTGCAAAAACCATACAAACCAAAAAACCTAAGTAATTTACACCCCTACCATCACCATAACACCTCAAATTCTCCATCATCTTGAAGCCTAAATTCTGATCAAACAAATTCCCAGGAAGGAAAAAACACATAGCTCCATCATTCCATCATTCTTGAACCAGCACCAGACAATTCGCCACCACATCACAAGAGAAACTAATAGGGAAGCTGATAGGAAAACCAGAGGCATCCGTGCCAACTAAGGCACACAAGTAGAAGGTGGTGGTGTAAACACCCGAGCTAGAACTCTACGTACCTTCCGGAAAATTCGCGTCAAAACGCGTTTAGGAGATATAGTTGTAGATCGAGAATGGTGTGAAAACAAGGGGGGATGAAGCAAATTTAGAGGATGAGAAAAAGAAAGAAACGAGAACATGGTGGAAGGAAATAGGAGGAGTGGGAAGAAATTAGATCTCTGAAACATGGATGAAAGGAAATGAGGACAATAAATTTGAAGATCGAAGCTTAGAATTGCAAAGTAGAACACCAACAGACTGGATAAAGAATCAAAATATAGCAGGGGAAATATAAGCAAAATAGAAGGGAAACGAACTAGAGGTTGCCGTTGACCACGACCATGCCTAGGGCCAATGGCTAAATGAAGATCGGATCGGGAAAGCTCACACACAAACAGTGCGAAAAGTTCTCACGGAGAGAAAAGAACTCTCACCAGAACGGGAGAGAAGCTTTTTATGATTGTTTTCTTTTTTTTGGTCATACAACAAAACACTAAGATTTTAAAAAACCAAAAAAGACCTTGCAATTAAAAGAAACCAATTATCAACTTTTTCAACAGCAAGTAGTTGTAACTTGCTTGCTTTGATTCGAAGAATTACAGGAAGATTGTTGTAGCTAATTTACTTTTTCACCATGAGTTCTAAACTTAAAACATAATAGAAAATAAACTAAAAAAAAAAAAAAATTCAACATATCTATCAAAACATTTTTAATCATCTTCAAAAGCCACAATATCATCAATGGCTACATTCTCTAGCCCTCGAAGTTGCTTGAATTGATCGACACGTCCCTGGTATTTTGAATACAAATTTTTCACTCTAATATCAGAGCTATTATAGATTTAGTTGGAATGAACGTAAGATAAACAAAGGGTGATGCTAGCGTTTAATATAACGTGTGGGTTTATTGATAAATTTGAGTTTTATTATTAGTTTTATTTTGTACTTATTAGTAATTATGCAATACGGTAAAATAGATAATTAACATTTAAAATTTAAGTTGAGTGTAGAAAGAGATTACATGGGTTTAAATACAATTTCCCATCGAGAAAAGCTTCATGTCTTTAATAAATGCCTTCACACAAAACTGGAGGGACTTGTGTGTGGTTTGCTCATATATATCATTAGATTTAGACTCATATGACGAGATCGGGTGAGACCAAATATTGGGACCCTAATTTGTATGAGGAGTGATGGACGATGTGGCAATACAAGTTATGGATGCTAGAATTTCACGTATAAAAGTATGATATTTGATGTACTTTAGTCTCAACGACCTCATGTTAATTTCAAGTGTGAAAGTTTCTCTAGTCAGACAGTTCTATCAAAAATTTTCTTCACGAACAAGAGTCACGATCGGAACCAAAACTCCAAAACCCTTTTGTGATGATTGTGATAAGGAAAGAGAAGTAACTTATACAAAATCGTTTTCTATTTCTGCACATTCATGTTTATTTTTAGCTCTTGAATTGAAAGAATGAAAATCGTTTAAAATATGTCGTTTAATAGGTGCCCTTGCCGTTTTTCCTTTCTTAACGGTATCATAGCGCGCCCTTACTTTCTCACGGTCACTCTTCTCCACACACACATTCAATCATGGCCTCACTTCCTCACCCAACCCAACCACTTCCTCCGCCGTTTAGCCGTCCACCGCCGCCGTCAACTGTACGGCCACAAATGACACTCAATCCCCATCCTCCTCCTCCTCCTTCTTCCCCTTCAACTAATACTAATGCAAACAAAACGACTTCACTGGCAGTGACTCAGAACAGTCGGAGCAAAATTCTTGAGAGTCAGAAGCTGAAAGATAAGGAGGCGAAGGAGAGGAAAGAGGAGACCAACAACAAAATAGCTTCCAGAAAAGCAATCTCGGTGATACTGCGAAGAGAAGCCACCAAAGCTCTGATTGAGAAGAAGAAGAAAGGGTCCAAGAGGCTGCTTCCAAAAACCGTGCTCGAAGCCCTCCATGAGAGAATCACTGCTCTGCGTTGGGAGTCCGCTCTCAAGGTCGGTCCTTTTTCAAACTTTCTTGTTCGAATCGGGTTTTGGCGAATTGGGTTTTGGGAAATTTTATCTGGGTTTATGGTTTTTCTTCGCTTGGTTGATTAGAAATGTAGGGTAAGGCGAGGGATTGACGTTTTAAGTACTGGGATTTTGGTGTTTCGTGCTTCATTTCGTTTTGATTGCTAAGAATGCATAGAAAAGGTTCGATTTTCGGCTTATAGGACCCTTGAAAATAAGAATAATGCTAATTCTGGTAATTGATATCGATTCTTGTCACTGTTGATATATTCAGAGATAGATGAATGAACAAATAAATCCCAAGTTTCATTTTTATTCTTAATCTGTGGAGAAATCCTAATGTTCACCGAACAATGCATTAAATATGTTGAGGATTTGAATTGACACAAAATTTTAAAGAAAATTGGTATTTTTTATCATCTACTATGATGAAGAAAGAAACCGACTTGGAATCTCATTCTTTGTCAAGGAAGAAGACTCACATTATATAAAAAATTCCCAATTTACTGTTCCTCAATTTTCTTTCTCTGATTGCACCTTTCTATGATTACACATTTCCCCCGTCTTTATTGTATCGGACAATGTAATTGTTTATAAGCCTAATATATTATGAGTATCTCTTCTCGTGGTCATTTTATCCTTTATACTTTCAGGTTTTTGAACTACTACAGGAGCAGCTCTGGTACCGACCTAATGCTGCTGTATACGTTAAGCTAATTGTCATGCTTGGAAAATGTAAGCAACCAGAAAAAGCCCACGAGCTTTTTGAAGCTATGATTGAAGAAGGCTGTGATGTCAACACTGAATCGTACACTGCTCTTGTATCTGCCTATGGTAGGAGCGGCCTCTTTCACAAAGCATTTTCCCTCCTTGAGCGGATGAAGACTACTCCTGACTGCCAGCCTGATGTCCACACTTATTCAATCCTCATAAAATCATGCCTGCAGGTTTTTGCATATGACAAAGTGCAGGCTCTACTTTCGGATATGGAAGTTCAGGGGATAAGACCCAACACCATCACATATAATACCCTCATCGATGCCTATGGCAAATCTAAAAGATTTGCAGAGATGGAATCAACACTTGTGGAAATGCTTAGCGAACAGGACTGTGAACCTGATGTTTGGACCATGAATTCAGTACTGAGAGCCTTTGGCAACAGCGGGCAAATAGAAACAATGGAAAAGTGTTTTGAGAGGTTTCAGAGTGCTGGGATCCAAGCCAACATCATGACTTTCAACATTCTCCTAGATTCCTATGGAAAAGCTGGGAAATATGAGAAAATGAGTGCTGTGATGGAATATATGCAGAAATACCATTATTCGTGGACGATTGTGACATATAATGTGGTGATAGATGCATTTGGGAGGGCTGGTGATTTAAAACAAATGGAGTATCTGTTTAGGCTAATGCGGTCAGAGAGGATCAAACCAAGCTGTGTCACACTTTGCTCACTCGTAAGGGCATATGGTCTAGCCAGTAAACCTGAAAAAGTTGAAGGTGTTTTACGTTTTGTGGAGAATTCAGATGTGATGCTCGATACAGTGTTTTTCAATTGTCTGGTTGATGCTTATGGGAGGATGGGATGCTTCACAGAAATGAAGGGGGTGCTTGAGATAATGGAGCAAAAAGGATGTAGGCCAGACAAAGTTACATATAGAACTATGATTAAAGCTTATTCCACCAACAAGATGATTGGCCATGTGAAGGAACTCCATGAACTTATGGAATCAGCAGAAGGAAGTCAGATGATTTGGTCCCAGAGAGAAAAACCTGACTTTCGATGACCTCTTTTGCAGGTCGTCCATCCCTGAGGTATACTGTTCCTGTACATTTTCATTGTTTTGAAGCAATTCCTGATCTGTGTACATGAATATTTGAATGACAAACGAAATGCAGTAAGCGTGGTATATGCTAATGACTTGTAAAGTGTACTAAGCCTGCAACATTGTGGAATACCATTTTTTGAATTTTAGTGAATCCGTGAATAAAGTAAATTGCCACATGTTATTGTCTTACTGATAACGTATGCAGTCTTTTTATATTCACAGTCCATTCTTTTTAAAAAGAAACAAGAGAGAGAACCAAAACAAATTCACGTGTGTACACATTAAGCACAGACACATCTTGAATAATATTTGGGTTTGAGTCTTTGAGATGGTATTTGAAAAATTGCTATTAGTAAATTGTAATTGATGAATTAGGTAGTTATTCCAGGTACTAAATTATTTTTCTATAGGAGCATCATCTAAAAGTATTGGAGTGATTAACTAAGTCCGATGTAAGCTCTGTCCTCCAGTTGACAACGTGCCATCTATTTTGTCTATGTTTTCAAATGCAAACCCTGCTATTACTCACACTTGCTTTGCCTTTTCTAGTGTGTCTTTTCACATTTGCTTCGACATTATCACCTTCTGAACCATGTTTTCAGGAACCTTCACATTCTTCGTGCGGTGCCGCATTGTTGTATATCCCAGCTTTTGTCTCTCTTGGAAGGATTTTTGGCCCAGTTCCAAAGCTAATTTGATCTACATGGGTGTTCTGCACAAAACAAACATATATATCAACGTATGTTTGGACTTTGGAGTAACGAATTGCTATTTACTTACAGAGTATTCAGCCGTTGTTACATTCTGTGATGTTCGAGCAGTTATTCTTGTGTCCGGTTCTGAGTCCCCACCAGTCTGTTGTGGTTGGCAGAGAAAGCCAGCTAAAGATGGTGAAAATTGGGCAGGTTGAGTAAGTCTTGGAGGTCCATCTGTTTGCTGTATGTGGGTATATAACGCACTAAAAGTGGGAAACGTTGAGTAGGTGTAACAACGTCTTACAGAGAATTCACGAAAACATTTTCTAAAGTTTCATGGGAAAATTCAAAACTAGAATTAATGCAGAAGGAAGAAAGCATTCAAGCCATGGGAAAAACGTACCAAGAATGAATGGGACGTGGTTTCTTGATATCCAAGGAAGAGCGTACTGCAAATCGTTGGTTGAGATTCAGAAAATACAAATTCTTGTGTGATGAAAGACAACTAACGATTACTGTCATATTCGTTTCCTTTCAAAAAAAAAAAAAAAAAGGATTACTGTCATAAGGTCTGGAGGATAATTATGGGCGTAATGATTACTCTGTGGTGAAAAATTACGTGGGAATGAGAGCTTTGTCATTTGTAGCTAGTAATTATTACCATTCTTGATTTAGTTTCCCACGTATAAGAAAATTTGAAGTCCTTAGAATTCAAGACAAAAAAAGAATTTAAACTTGAGCCTTCCCACTCAATGACACAAATCTTTTAGTTAGGAATCAAAGAGGTGCGATTTTTCATTCCCCTAACCCGTCTATTGGCGGCCTCTAGTAGTGACGCGCCCCTATTCCTGCAATCCACACCTTAATGTTCATTTTCAAAGTGGGACAACTGCTCTGCGTTGGGATTCTGCTCGCAAGGTCAGTCCTTCTTCCATTTTTTTGGCTCAAATCGAGTTTTGGGGAATTTTATATGGGTTTCTACTTGTTCTTCGTTTGTTTGCTTAGAAATGTAGGAATGCATAGGAAAATCTAGCAGAAGGGTTTACTTTACAAGCTTCAAGCAATTTGTTTGTTGGTTAGCTTGAGTTTTATTCAAATTTGCACTCAAACGTGTTGAGCTCGATTCGATTTCGTTAATTCCAGTAGTTTATTAGATTTTTTTTTTCTTTCACTATTGATATAATCACAGAGAGAGGAATAAAATACATCCCAAGGTTAACTTGTTTGAAAATGTGCTAATGTTGCCGTTTATATTAAGCTAATCGTCATGCTTGATTACCAGAAGTTAAACACGTGTCCAGTTGTTTAGCCTTTGCTCTCGAGGTTTCAAGTTCGATTCCTCCACACCAAACCAGAGTTCTTACATTTTTGGAAAGTTTCATTTTTTTTGTTATATATACTTTGTCATCATGAAAGACAAACCGAAAGCTTCCCCATAACTGTAGGGTTACATTAAGGCTCATCTTTAAGTCCTTACCTTTTTGCATTGGTAATGGATGAGTTAATGAGACATATTCAAGATGATATTCCTTGGTGTATGCTTTTCGCAAACGATATAGTGTTGATAAATGAAACTCATGAAGGGGTAAATGCTAAGCTTAACCTTTGGAGAGAAGTGTTGGAATCTAAAAGTCTTTGCCTAAGCCGATCAAAGACAGAATATATGGAGTGCAAGTTCAGTGCAAATGGAGGCCAAAATGAGTTAGGGGTGAGGATCGGAGATTAGAAAGTACCAAAGAGTGACCGTTTTCGTTACCTAGGATTTATCTTGCAAAAGAACGGAGAATTAGATGGAGACCTCAACCATAGAATACAAGCTGGATGGATGAAGTGGAAGAGTGCATCCGGCGTGTTGTGTAACCGCCGTATGCTACTGAAGCTCAAGGGAAAATTTTATAGGACGGTAATAAGGCCGGCAATGCTGTATGGCACAAAATGTTGGGCGGTGAAGCATCAACACGTACATAAATTGAGTGTAGCAGAGATGAGAATGCTTCGTTGGATGTGTGGGGCACACGAGAAAGGATAAGATTAGAAATGAGGATATCCGAGATAAAGTAGGAGTAGCCGAAATTGAAGGAAATATGAGAAAAAATCGGTTACGGTGGTTTCGACATATGCAAAGAAGGCTTACTGACACTCCAGTTAGAAGATGCGACTACGGGATAAAGGTCTAGGGCCGAACGGGTAGAGGAAGACCTAGGAAAACTTTGGAAGAGACTCTAAGAAAAGACTTAGAGTACTTGGATCTAACGGAGGACATGATACAGAACTGAGCGCAATGACGTACTAGGATTCATATAGCCGACCCCACTTAGGGCTGGTTTGGTATTGCTGTGCTTTGAAAAAAAAAAGCTGATTCTGCTGTGCTGTGAGAATAAGCAGCTGTGAAATAAAGCAGCAGAGTATTTGGTAAACTTTTTTGTAAAAGTGTTTTTGAAAAAAAAAAGCAGTATTATAGTGTTTGGTAAACTTTTATGTAAAACAGATATGAAAAAAAACCGATTTTTCAAAGCTGGGTTTTGCAGCTTCTTGTTTTTGGCTTTTTTTACCCAAAACTGTGAAAAAAAGCTGAAGCTGAATGTTTACTAAACACAAAAATAGCTCCCAATTTTTTTTGGTACCAATTTTTTTCAGAATTACTTCAGTACCAAACCAGGTCTTAGTGGGAAAAAACTTTATTGTTGTTGTTGTTATACTTTGTCGACATGTAAATAGATCATCTTTATTGCTCATCTTAACTTTATTTAAGAGCTCAAAAGTTGTAAGCTTTTCTCTTTTATTTTGTGTTTCATCACCTTTAATACAATATTTCAACTTGACTAATGTGTTTTGCCTTGTTTTTTTTTATTGAATTCTTTGGTAAAGTATCTTTTTGCCCAATAAACGAAGAAAAAAAGATGTCACTTCATGCAAAATTATGTAGTGGAACTACAAACTTTTTGATAATCTCACATGGAGGAGCAGTACTCGGATTTGACGCTAGAACAACCAGAAGCAATAATGGTTGCATAAGTGGAGAGGATCCTCGCGGGTCATTTTTGTAAGGATCTTAAAGATTCTCTAATCATATCTGTTCATCATATATTTTAAGATCAGTTTTTATCAGATACTGTTTATATTCAATTTTAAGTAAATAATTTATAATGATTTCTGAGCGCATGATGTACCAATCACATCTGTTTATCATATAATGTGTAGTCAGTTTTTGTCAGATACTTGTTTATATTCAATTTTAAATAAATAATTTATAATGATTTCTGAGCGCACAATATACGATGAACGGATGTGATCGGAGAATCTCCAAGATCCTCTTGGGCATAAGTAAACTAAATTTTCATTTTTTTTCTATTTTCTATTTATACGTCTGTAGTTCTTTCTTCTTTTTTTTTTTTTTTTTTTTTTGGAAAACCTCGACGGTACGAGGGAAATTTTATTGATAATGAAAAAATAAGTTACAACTAGTCATGAAGGATATAAACTTTACTCCTCAAAAAACAAAGACAATAAAAAGGAATATACGAAAAAGAAGAGGGGACATAAACCTTACCCTATACGAAAAAGAAGAGGGGACATAAACCTTACCTTTCTAGAAACAAAAAATGAGAATGAAATAAAGAAAAAAGGGGAGGAACATGAAACATAACCCCTCTAAAACCAAACCTAAAGGTCTAAACTTGCAAAACCAGTCAAACAACCCCATAAAGTTAGGAGAAAAAAAAAGAAAGTGAGACAAACCTAGATACCGACATGTACATTAATTTGAGAAGTCACTTTCCGAATATAAACAGTTTCTGTAGTTGTTATTTAGTGAATACACGTTCTCTCTATTTTCAGTTTCAGAAACAAAGACCAAATGTGAAAAATTAACTGAAACCTCACCCATCATTGTAACGATGACGGGGGTTCCAATGACGGGGAATGTCGTAAAATGCAAAAAAACTTGGAAATTCTTGAAGAATATATATTAGTGGACAATTTGCGAGAGCTTAAACATGTTATTCATGTTGCAGATAAGACTTGCGTATATACGCAATTTTTCAAGAACTACTATGACACTTAAGCTTATATAATGGTGGCATGCAGTTGGAGGTACATAAGTAACATGTTTAGGACCTTCCAATTTTACAATTGACATTGACACACTCTGACCGAAATCAAGGTGTGACATATTATCCTTCAAAATTTTCAAGCTTATTTGCAATTTACCACATTTCCGAGTACTGCTCCTTCATGTAATATTATCAAAAGGTTTAGAGAAAATTGTAGCAATGGTCTTTCAACTTTGACTCAATTAGAGTAATAATCTCTTAATTAAAAATTCAGGACTAATGGTCCATTAACTCATCAAAATATGCAACTATAGTCTTTTTCGTCAACTTTGCCAAAATAAGTCATGGTGTAAGGACAACTAATACAATTGGGTTAAAATTGAGGGATCGTTGCTACAATTTTTCTTATTTAGTTTTGCCCTTGGATTCAGTCTCACATGCATGGCGCGTAACTCATTTTGATGGAATTTCTAACGGAGTTGATGACAATGATCATAGTTGCATGTTTTGATGAGTTAAGAGACCTATGGTCATGAATTTTTAGTTAAGAAATCATTACTCCAATTTAATTAAAATTAAGAGACCATTGCTACAATTTCCTCAAATGTTTGTAGTTTCACCACAAAATTTTGCAAAGAAGATGCATTTTTTTTTTCTCTTTTTCTTTTGCCAATTTAATACTTCATTGAAAATCCAATAAAAGACAAGACAAAACACATAAACTAAGTTAAAATATTGAATTAGAGGCGAACGCACATAAAGAGAAAACCTTACAACTTTGAGCTCATAAAACAAATTAAGATGAGCAACAAAGCTGATCCATGTAGATGACTTGAAAAAGTACATATAACAATAAAAACATGGAACTTTCTCTAGAAATGTACGAGCAATTTTAGAAGGGGAAATCGAACTCAAAATCTCGAGTGCAAAGGGTGAACTCTCCTAACTAACCAAGAGAAATGCCCCTTGCAGATGGAACTAGAATATAAGGAAGTCCGTCAAGGCAAGAAAATGGCATCCATTGCATGACTGCAGTTTGAACATATCCAACTTGGGTATATTATTTTCATCCAGAATCCTTGAGGAAGTCGGTCAAGCCACAACACATGTAAATAGGTACCATCTCCAAAATTCAATTAGAAGTTGTCGTGTTGAATCACCACAACACCGTCTTCAGAAAGCAGTCCTCCTTTGCTAAAACGAGGTTTTAGAACTGCCAACCTTTTCACCCTATACAACCTGGTGAAGTATTTGGTAGCACTTAAAAGTTTAAAATAGTATTTGGTGAACTATTCAACGTAATTAAATAGTTTTGAATAACTTTACCATGAACGTTTTGCAAATGTTTCCACGAACTCTCTGAAAGTGTAATGATCTTGAAATTTCGTTCATACGTGTATTTAAAGTTCACCATTTGAGCTATCTACAAGAAATATTTACTCAATGAATTGCTTTCTGTAGGGTTTTATCGATCTTGTGTCGAGATTCTTGAGTATCTTCTATTTTTGTGTGGTATAATCGTTAAGTTTTCGAGTTTTATCAATCTTTGTGCGTTACTTTTTCATTTCTTGAACTAAAATTCACCTGTAAGTGTTGAT